GACGGAGGGGTTGCGTGATGCTCCTTCCTCTCCTGCAAAGTAGTGTCTTCTAAGACTCTGAGCTCTGCAGTTAACAATGGTTATTGTCCTCATAACCAACTGAAAACGTTTGATTATTTGTAAACAAAAAGGATAATAAATAAAAATGTTGAAAATTAAAACTACACTGAGATAAAGTAGCAGCAGTCATTTGTGAGCGTTATCCTAAATGTGTTAGTTGTCCCTTAATCACCATTAGCTAAAGAAAAAAGAATTCCCAGGCAGATGCTTCCACAGACTGACTGAAAAGACCCCAACTTGGCAATTCCTTAGTTTTACTTTCTAAATAAGGGAAGTTCTAAGTTCTTCACATCCCCCTTGCCTACTCACATATAGAATAGTTGTTTTTTAAAATTTTATCCACCCACAGGAAATTTCTACAGCTTCTTTAAACCAGACTACTAAAAGTTGTCCAACAAAGGAACATGCCTGTCTTTCCCCTGAAACCCAGCTGTGCTTACAGGAACCGGGACCTCAAAGTGCAAGGATTTTGATCTTCTGCTTCCTAGAAACAGTGTGTGGGCCACCCACTCTATCAAGTGTACATAAAATCTTTACTCTTGAAATCACTTTTTCAGTCTCTTAAGTGCTGGTATATTCCTGAGACATCTCTTTTCACTGCAGACTGTCATTAGGTGATGTTCTCCATTGCCTTGATTTCTATCATGCACTGACTCTCTTTATGTTGATGTCACTCAGAATCTTGGATATGGTTCCCGTCTCTTTAAATTTGAAATGTCCCCAAATGAACTCAACATTTTCTCCTCATTCTAAACAGATTTCACTGCCAGGTGTCCTGGCCAGAAATCTGACCATTACTGTGACTCCTCCCTCCCATCTTTAATCAATTAATTGTCTAAATTTCTCTATCTATACAGCTCTGTGTCTCCAATGTTGATTACTGCAAGAGTGTCCTAGCCATTCACCCTGCCTCTAGTTTTGTTCCTTTACGATTCATTTTACACCATGGTGCCAAGAATTGTCTTTCTAAAATGCAAATCTTGCTATTTACTTGCTTAAAACTCTTCCATGTGTTTCTCTTGCCCTCTGAATGTAAAACATCTTTTAACAGCCGTTATGGTTTGGCTGCTACTGACTTCTCACTGCATCATTTGGCAACAGCGTGCATCTCCTAGTTCCAACCATATTCAAATGTTCATTTCAGCTGATATGCCATGCTCATTCCTGTAACTAAATCTTGACATAGCCTGCTTTCTCAAAATATTCTTCAGCTTCTTTCTTCAAACCTATTCCGAACTTTCTCAATCCTCCTGAATTTCACCCGAATAAACCTCATTCTTTAGATTGAACAGGGTAAACAAAGCCCAAGTTTCTTTATCTGCAATGCAGACTAGATGGTTCTCAGGTGTGGGTCCTCAGCATCCTGTCATTTGTTCTTAAGATTTAGTGTAACTGCCTGTCAGTGTTGTCCCCACACTAGCCACCTAGCTCCACAAATGAAAGGACTGTGTATGTCCTACTGCTTCTGAGTCCCCAGAATCTAATACAATAATAGACGCACAGTGGCTGTTCGGGAAGTATTTGTTGAGTAAGTGTTAAATGAAGCAGGGTAGGGAATCTAACATTCTGTGAATAAGATATTCCCTTCTCCTAAAGAAATGAGGTAGAGCAATAATCAGCTCATGAGACCTTTCTCTTTTCTTTGTCTGGGTGCACCCTGGTAGTGACATCATACAGGGATAGTCACAGTTCCTGCCTGTCTCATTCCTAGAGGCTCCATCCAAGGTGAACATTTACTTGGCCTTCCAGCTAAAAGAAGAACAAGCCCTTTTTAATGGAGGTATATTCTAGGAAGACTATAGCACATATAGTGTCAGATGGATATTGGAATCTAATGGGAAAATTGCTATAAAAACAGAGTAAAACCATGATTTTCTATTTTCTTAGTAGCTGTGACATCACTCTCTCCTTTTTTCTTTATTTTTCTGGAGACGTTTTTGTTGACTCTTTCTTTTCTGTTGGTTTTTGTTGCTCTCTTTTTGCCTGACCTCTAAACCTAGGCATCCTTAGAGAGGCTAGATCTATTCAAGCCACAGGCTCTCCTCGGGTAATGTGCACAATTTCCTCATTTTCACAAACCCATATATACATATGAATGACATGTCTGTTTCTTCAGCATTGCACTTTGGCCCCTGTATTTACTGAACATTTTAGATCAAATGTCCTATAGGCAGCTCCAAGTTAACATCTCCAGCAGCAAATCTCCCGTTTTTTGTTTGTTTTGTTTGTTTGCTTTGTTTTGTTTCTGTTGTCTTATTTTTTTTCTGTTGTTCTATCTCCTCTCCCAGTCCCAAGCCATAGACTCAAGAGGCTCACTTGCAAACTACCTTAACCTCTCCTTCTATGTGCAATAATTCCACAAGAACCACCCTTAAATAGGTTTTGCTGCTACCTGCTCCCCTGTTTCTGGAATATCCCAACAACCATTCAAGCTTTACTATCTTTTGCCCTAATAAAAACTTAAATAGGCCTTTGTAATGTTATGTTAGGTCTTGTAACAGCCCCCTAACCAGGTTCTCTATTTCCAGGCTTGCCAACTTCCTGTTTCTCCTACTCCTGCATTTTTACTCACAGCTACCAAAGTGAGCTAATTTATTCATCCAATAGTGTCACTCCTCTCCCCTGCTGAAAATCTTTGGTAACTCTCTTCAGCCATGACTCTCATCCTTGGCTAATCAAAAGAATCAAGTGAGAAGGTTTTTCATAAATAGGGATTTTTGTATCCCTCTCCGTCCAACTGAATTCTCAATCCCAGAGAGTAGGGCCTGAGCATCTGGGACTCTGCTGAACTGCCAGAGTTGAAGACTACAGGGTGGCATATGAGAATTTCCTTAGCCAAATCCCTCCCCATTTCTCTACCCATCAACTACTACATCATATCACACTGTATCTGCTCTAGTAATAAATACCATGCATTTATTCCACTCATTGCCATGCAAACTCTGCCCACTCAGACATCTGTACTGGGTTTATTCTGTTGCTCCCACTGAGACCCTCCTACCTATCTTTATTGCTCCATGGACTCTGCTTCATCTTTAAAGGACTTGCTAAGGCAACATCTCTTCCAGGAAGCCTTCTCTGACTTCCTACCCACCCCACAACTCACTCACTTCCAAGTCTAGATCCAAGATGTATTCACAAGTGTTCTTTTATATTCACACAGTAGTCTGGCCTGTGAATGTCTTTGTCATATCACACTACAACATTTTGCTTAAATTATATGCTCATATGTATGTTTCCCCCACTAGACTGTGATGATCTCCCTGTCCAGAAAGTCAGAAGCTACCTCAGCCCCCTTCAGGGACACACAGAGGCCATGGCATAACATGGGACCCAAAGCCATCTGTTCACGGCAGTGATACTGAAGTATGGAATTTGAGGAGCATTTTGAGAAGCTCTTTTAGTGCAGGTTTTTCAAGCCTCATCATTGCAGTAACTCTGGAGCTATGTCAAGAAACCCAAAAGAGGCAAAAAGAGTAATGGGAGCCAAGAGGGGTGCCAAGAGAGTCAGGTTTCATGTGTGACATTTGAAACAAAAGATTGGGAAGCAACCTGGAGAAATTTCCTGATTTTGAATTCAGCTGTTCACTGGCCTTGACCTCTGTCCTTGGCCTCTAAAAATGGTTAAAGGCATTGACAAAGAAAAGAGAGCAGAGATTGGTGTGCGTATGTGTGTGTGTGTGCGTGTGTGTGTGTGTGTGTGTGTGTGTGTGTGTGTCCTGCCTCACAGCTGCTGATGAAGATTTTCTTGTTGACTTAACACCAGCCAGGCTCCTCCCAGTCCTCTTTTCAACTAACCTTCAACCTTGGCCTAGAAAAACTGTCAGATAAACAATTTCATCTACCCTGTCCCCCACATTAAAAGACTTCAACAAATACTAACATAGTTTCTAACAGCTCAAGGGTATGTCCTTAGGATGATGACTCCAGAGCCATAAGTTCCTGACTGAGAAAGCTCAAGGCTGTAAAACAGTTTCACTATTTTGTTCTGGCCAACACCTGAATAGGGTCCCTGTCTCCCAGTCTCTGAGGGAGGGTAAGAATCTGACTTTGATAAGCATCAGTTAGCAAACCCCAGATAACTCCACGTGGACCAACCCCACTTTCTCACATTTTGTAAATGTCCACTTCCCTGATTCTGCTCAAGCTCCTGCTTCTCCCCCTCCCTAGCTCCTCATTCTTCCTCTGTGAGGCCTAGTCACATCTGTGCAAATCAAAGTTCAGCTCAGTTCACACCGGACCTACTTCTGTATTGCAATAGTTTATGCCTAATGAAAATTTGTCTTTACCACTTCCCTTAGTGTCTGGGTTTCTTCATCTTTGACAGCACCTTCAGTAATACACATTCTTATATCCTGGGGAATCTGACTCTTGAGGCTGATGAGGCACTTAGTAGGGCAACTATTTGCAGGAAAACCTCAGTGAGCAAAAGGAGGATGAAACCCAACCAGGCAATGGCTGGGGGAAGGTGTGGCTCTGATGAAAGCATTAGGGGTGACATATTTTAAAGAAAAAACATTTCTAATAGAAGAAGCATTTGGATCCTCAGGTGAATATTTTTGAAGAAATATTCCTCATGACAAAGATTTTTAAATAGAGGAGTGTTCTTGTCCCACAAACTTACTGTCTTGCCTTCTCCCCTTTCTGACTAAAAAATCTACTGTTTCTAAAGAATCCTTTTTTCTACCTATAAAACACAAAAGTTTTATAAAAATGAGTTACATGAATTTCTATACACAAGAAAATATTAACAGAAGAAAAACTGTTATATTACTTGATTTAGGGAATTGACTTAATTTATACAATCTGAATTTTTTTATTATTTTTCCATGTTCTGGCCTTTAACATTTGTTTCCTTGACAGTTACATAGTTTTATAATTTAACCTTATGTCTTAAAGGTCCAGAAAGAAAACTTAGATTAAGGCAAATAAAACAGACAGTAGAGATACTCAATAGATTTACTTAGATCCATTCACTTAGCATCAATGCACAACACATTCCAAAAGCAAGCATATATTAAATTTAAAATGGATAATATTAACTGGGTTCAATAATTTGATAAATGGTCAAACGATTTTTATTGTCTATGTTTTGGGCCATGCATTTCATTCCTTATTGGCTTACTTTATTGAATTAACATATCAATTATTTTTTTTGATAGGAATAGAGAAAATAATCATGAGAAGGAGCAGTGGTGGAGAATATACTTCTTACTGCTGCACGCAACATGTATGGCAGGTGATGACACCAAACAGCTAACATCTGCAGAGACCTAAATGGCACATGTTCGCACATGTGGATAAGTATAATGTTTATTAATCTAAAAAATGATAAAATATTATAAAAATAGAAGTAGAAAACCCTAGACAATTTAAAATACAGAAAAATTTTAAGTAAAGTTATTTGAATCAGGCAATATTTAATATATCAAATATTAATCCTAATAACTATGTATAAAGTAATCTAAATCCAAGACACTAACCATGCCAAAAGGCTGCAGGCCTCCTGACCACCCCATAATCCTTTGGCAGGATTAACGTTCTCTGATTACATACTTGAGCACCCCCTGGTTACAATAGTACTTGTTTATTATTGAGATTATAAAAATAACCATTCTCTAAATGATTACACATAGTAAATAAAATTAGAACTATAGATAAGGATTTGAATAACTGCAGTTTCTTTAAGGACCACTTGCAACTTCTTCTGTCTGTTTCACAAACCTGCAGAGGAGAAATGAAACAGAAGAAAATGTGCTTAATAACATGTCTACATTATAGCATATTAAAAAGAAAAATTGAGATTTTAATGATTTCCTCTATTCCAATGAACTTTACAATGATATTGACATTAGAATACTACCTCTATTAATCATATTTGCAGCCAATATGTCAATTTCTGATATCTGTATAAAATTCTAATCACATTAGATGGCAATGTGGTTAGGCTTTGTGTCCTTACCCAAAGCCCATCTTGAATTACAATTCCCATAATCTCCATGTGTCAAGGCCAAGACCAGAGGGAGGTAATTGAGTCATGGGTATGAACTCCCCCATGCTGTTCTTGTGAAAGGGGTGAGTTCTCAGGAGATCTAATGGTTTTATAAGGGGCTCTTCCCCCTTCACTCGGCACCTCTCCTTCCTGCTGCTTTGTGAGAAGGTGCCTTGCCTCCTCTTTGCCTTCTGCCATGATTGTAAGTTTCCTGAGGCCTCCTCAGCCATGCTGAACCGTGAGGCACTTAACCCTCTTTTCTTTATAAATTACCCAGTCTCAGGTATGTCTTTATAGCAGTGTGAAAACAGACTAATACAGATGGCAAGGGAAAATATTCAAGTTTCTAGAATATTTTACTTTTTTTCTGCTTTGTATCATAGTTATATTTAATATTTTTGATTTACCATAAGTATTTTGAAGGAAGACCTTCAATCTCCATCTTACTCACAGGACCTAAAAGAATGCTTTGTATGTGGCATTTGCTTAATAAATATTTATTTGATGAAAGAGAGAAAAAAAAGTTAGGGAGGAAGAGAAAGAGAGGGAAAGAGAATCTGGTTGTTTTTGCACACACTTTTTATTTATCTGAAATGCTTTACTTACTCCAACCCCAGCTAACTCTTTTATCAACTACATCTTTCATTCCTTTATGCTTTACCCTTAGACATTACTTTCTCTTGACCTTTTGACTAGTAGTCAAGCTAGAACTCTCCTGATGCACATCTCATTCTCATGCTTCTATAAGCACCAACAGCATTTTGTGTAAATAGCTGTTCACTGTGTGTCTTTTCCACAATTTAGTAAGTTCCATGATGAGAAGACCTATGATAGGTGCTGTATCACCCATGATAATGACATGTGCTATTCTCTGACAGTAGTTCTTCATCCATTATAGGTTTTAAATATGAATCACATGAGTGATTTACTTGTTAGAGCTCTTGAACTAAACAGAAGTATGCCTGTATGTCATACAAAGTGTGCTTGACGGGCTCAGGAACAGAACCACGTGAGGTATAGGTACCTAGATTACCATATAGGTACATGTTGTGTACCTATATCCAATAATATATATCTCATCCTTCATTATGGATTCATAGCTTTCTAATATACAGATTGCTATAATTTTTTTAATCAATCTCTTTTTGGATTATTATGTTGTTTCTATTTTTTACATGTTTTCCATGTTTTCTTGTAAAACATTTTTATGCTTTATTATGAAACATGGCAATGAACATAATATTCTGATAGCTATGTCATACTGCATTGAAGAAATTATTTCTTTAGGTAATGTCCTAATGCAAAATTATTGAGTCAATGAGCAATTATAGCAGAGCAAAACTGAATTAGCAGCCAACGGTAACAGTAAACTCCCCACTAATCAGTGTGCTTATGCAGAGTCTGGGTGACCATTTGGTAGGGGTGTTGCAGAGAAAAGGCTAGCATTAGATTAGGGAAGAAGTAGCTGGTTCTAAGTTCTTTCCAGTTTGATATTCTGTGATTCTATGAGTGGTAAGAAAAACTCAACACCTTTGCTTTTCTCTGAAACATACTTAAGATATGATACAGTGTTTTTTTCTATTTTTCTATTTTTGTGTATATAGTTCACACAGTAGCCTCACATTCATGGATGTGAAATTATTCTGAGATGCTATAACTGCGGGGAATATATAATAGCATCATAGAGTCCATGGCCTACATGTGGGAGAATATGTTTTTTAGCTCTTATCTATCTAGAAGATATTATTTTTCCTGCCATGGAGAAAGGGTTTAAAACACCCATCCTCCCACCTTAGCAAGGAAGAATGGAGACTAAATGAGAACTCTGAAACCTATAGAACACACACACACACACACACACAGAAAGAGAGAGAAAGAGAGAGAGAGAGAGAGACAGAGAGAGAAGAAATCTTATAATCTTATGCAGGGTACTTGGAGAAAAACCTGTTCTCATTAGAGGTCATGAGGACTAGGTATTGTTTAAATACAAATCCTGAGCAATTTTAGAAAGTACCTGTCATTACCTGACATTGATATTACGTGCCCTGAGAAAACATACCAGAGTAGACCAGTGTAGGACAAGAAGAGCATGGAACACAAAGAAGAAGATCAGCAGAACCTGCACAATGAAAGAAACAGAGATAATATGCCAGGCCAGAAAAAATAATTTATTAAATACAATTTTCTAGTGGTTTAACCAATTTCTAGTGAAGATTAATTGAAATTAATATCAAAACTACATTTATAGTATACGCGGTGCTAGAATTCTATATTTTGACTGCTTAGTAGTGTGTATATCCTCATTCCATTATTCAGCCATTTTCCACTTAAAGTTACAGTAATTTTTCCAATAAAATCTAACGCAAAATACTTCTTTGGAGAGTGTTCTGGGTATGTATGTGGTCTGTGGGAAGATCCCTTATAAACTGCAGTCATAATTGTGAAGCCCAGCATGTGTTAGGCAGGAAAGCCATGGTCTGCTCCGCAGACTGTGCCCCAACACACCTTATTCAGTCCCAGACATGTACATGCTACTTATTGTGATGCTACAAAATTATAAATTAGTACCATATTATCAAGCTATATGATTTCATGGCATAGTATATATATGTGTATGTCTGTGAATGTGTGTGTATATATATATGTGTGTGTGTGTGTGTGTGTGTTCACATATATAGGTACACACACTATATTGTCTGGTTCATAGCATTATAGGCTAAATGTGATTCCTCTGAACTCAGCCCTGAGGCAGAAGAATATGAGACTATCTTTGAAGGAAGGAGAAAGTTATTTCTCTTGGGGAAATGGGGCATGACTATTCTAGTTCAAAAGAGTGGTAAAATAAAACAGAGGGTGAAAGTAGATGAAATAAAAAAGATAAGCAATTCCACATGTCTTGAAAAGAAAGGAAATAGATTAAGTCCAAATTTTCTACAGCATCTCTTAGAACACTAGCCCTACATGATATTAATCTAGATTATTCACAAATAAATGGTTCATTGGTCAAATAATTTTGGACAACATCATACTATATCTGATTTTTGAAGAATCAAAATATACAACAGCACATTAAAGATTCTTAGAAGTCCTACACTAAGAAAAATGATTTAACCTGATATTTTCCAAAGTTATTTTAGAACAGATTTTTATATAACACTCATTTTTAAAAATTCTAAGGCCAGGCGCAGTGGCTCAAGCCTGTAATCCCAGCACTTTGGGAGGCCGAGGTGGGTGGATCAGGAAGTCAAGAGATCGAGACCATCCTGGCCAACATGGTGAAACCCCGTCTCTACTAAAAATACAAAAAATTAGCTGGGCATGGTGACGCATGCCTGTAATCCCATCTACTCAGGAGGCTGAGGCAGGAGAATTGCCTGAACCCAGGAGGCGGAGGTTGTGGTGAGCGGAGATCACGCCATTGCACTCAGCCTGGGTAACAAGAGCAAAACTCCATCTCAAAAAAAAAAAAAAAAAACAATTCTATAGAGCATTTATTAGTTAAGTGCTACTTCAACTATAATGAGATGGCTTGTTGATTTGGTGGTCATTTCATACATTCTGCAGCAAAATGCATACAAGGATGGATTTTATATTCAGCTAGACCTGAGTTTAAATCTTATCTTCACTCTTTCTTATATATGTCCCCTTGAGTAAGTCAGCATTGCTCAGAATCCTTCCTAGAGGATGGCTCTAAGCAAAATGCTTTTGAAAGTATTAAGTGATGGGCATTTAACAGTTTTACAATATCAACATTTAGATTAATAGGAACTACGAGAAAACGTTTGGCTTGAAGGTAGAGATTGCACATGGAAGGTGGATGCTGGATACAGCTGAAGAACTTGTGCAATTATTAGAAATCCTATACACAGAAGGGTTTGAAGTAAAATAACGATGTATTTATGTGTGTCTGACTGGTCTTTTCGCCAAGCCATTTCGTGCTAGTGCTAGCAAGTATTGAGTCATGCTCTTATGCGGTATAAGGAGTGGAGATCAGCCAAAGAAAGTGCTGTTTAAAACAGGTGCAGTGGCTCCACATCAGAGTGTTTGATTCAGTAGATCGAGATGGGCCTAAGCAGTGTGTTCTGGCTGGGTCATGGATCACTGGCATAAACCGAACCTGGGGCCCTGAATGGTTGCCTGATTCACGGCCACAAGGTCAAGGACTAAGGGTCAGCCTGGAGGTGGGCGGTCCATCGCGGATTTCTACTAAAAAGTAGAAAAGTTGGCCAAGCATGGTTGCAGGCCCACCTTACGACTGTACTGCCGCGTAGCCGGCCGAGGCCTAGAATCGCCTTACCAGAACTCCTGAGAGGCTTTGCAGTGAGCCGAGATGACATACCTTGCACTCCAGCCTGGGTCATACCAGCAAGCTCTCTCCTGGTGATGAAAAAGAAACATCTCAGAACAATTTACAAAAGAAAGAACAGCTGAACTACTGCACTGCTATGTCAAACCTGCTGATACCGCACAGAGTCCGCACTTACCTGTAGACAAGATGAGCCGCTGTGTCTGCACCTCTGCAGACGGTGGTAATCAAGCTCGGGACGTACGATACCAGGCTGCAGTGCAGTAGTAGAGAACTGGGATACATACAACAAGTGGCAAGGAGTTAGTAGAAAATGGGGAATTGTAAGGGAAGGAGGTTTGTGACAGATAGCAGATTATAATAATCTGAGACTTAGAGTTGGATGCTATTTCAAATTTGATAAGAAAAAGTATATACAGGCTTAGTGGATAACTAGATTTGAGAAGGCCAAAGAATGGTAATGGTAGTATATTGTGAGTCACCCAAGTGGGAGGTATAATTTTCTGAGAAAATAGTTGTGATGGAGAGGAAAACAGTGAGCCAGATGTAAGCAACTCACAGGAATGAAGAAAAGTGATTGGTGAGATTATAGTGACCAGGATGCGAATAGAACAACACAACAAATGGTAGGACCCATAAAAAAAGAAAGTTCAGATGGAATGTTGATGCTATCTCATGGTGCTTGGCACAAGGCAATGGAAAGAAGCAGCCTCCTCTGGAGGAAGCTAACAGGGACACAGTGTTTCCTAGGAAGAACCCATCTCAAATAAGACCCCAAAGTATATATATAAAATATTATTTTAATACCACCAAAGAACAATCAGTTTGCCAATCAAGTTCCAGTCCCAGGGCATAGTGCAAAGATCTGGGAAATAGTCAACAACACAAATGCAGGAGAAGATATTATTTTGATAAGAGCATGGGACAAGAGAGGATGGCCAAGGATAACAGAGAATGAAAAACGCAGAATTAACTGATTTCAAGTTTCTGAAATAAACTTTGACATAATGTTTTTCTTGCATGAAAACTGCTTAGGCATTCAGCCTGATGCTGCTTCCTTCTGTTTGGAAGCGGGACTCCTCCTATACCAGGGATAGCCCATTATTTCTCATACTTGTGAGAATGTAAGAAATGAAGCAGCTTTGATGGGGGAAACAACAAATAAGAGAGTGGCCATCAAGTCTGAAAATAAAGATAATGTTATGGATTAGAAAACTCTTTATTTCTTCTTGAGGATCCTGCCATATGCTCCAGGTTTATTCAGAGAGATATAGCAAAACAAATCACCTAAAGCAATGCATGCCAAGAGCATGTTTTGGGATTAAAGTAAATTCTATGTTGATGCACCATGTTCATTGCAAGTGTGATGAACTATGATTACTGCAGAAGAACAGCACATTAAACTTATGATATGCCATTGAACGCATCCTGTTTTCCATCAGATATTAACAAACCACTTATTACTTGCATGTGTCTGTTTCCAGAGGTTATGACCTCCCTGAATGAACAGAGATAAAGATAGAGACTTAGGTGTGGCCATTTCTCAAGTGATCTTTCAAAGTCAGGCAACCAATTTGAACTAAACGTATTCATTTATTCATTCATTAAGTTCATTCACTAAATATTTGCTAAGTAAAGAAATTTTGAATGCATAAATATCTATTAAGTATTTGTTGAACATTTACAGTGTAAAATAGGAATTTTAAGATTAAAGTTTTCTTAATAGGCTAATTGAGATAATTAGGTAGAAGAGATGTATGTATAAAGCCTTATATAAGCGGTAGAAACTTTTAAAAAATGATTTTAATTATTTAACAATAGATAATTGTATGTGTCCTAACATGAAAGAGAAAGTCACATATAATTTGTGTCTAAGAATACAAGAAAAAGCTATGTTTTTGATCTGGAGAATGTTTAATTATACTAAAGATGATATACAGTTTTGAGATATTTAGTCAACATTTCAAAACAAGTCATTTTGAAGAAATCTGGCAGCACGCTTTGTGAACAGTTGTTCTACTTTTAATAGCTTACTGTGGGTTTGAAAGCACACGTAATGTAATTACTAAATGCTATTTATTTTATTCTGTCAAAATTCTAGTTTTTATGTTTATCATATATCCTCCCTTAATTTTCTGGATTACTTTGCTTGTAGATAATAATTTGGAACACTATAATATAACTAAAACAAGTAGAAGTTTCTATTAAAAGCAGACTTTCCACTCAAATGGATTTCTGCTTCAGTTTCTTTATGTGTTGCTTTCCCTCATTTTCTTATTTCAGTGTTTTCTTTGTGTTAACACTCTCTCCGTGCACAGTGAGATCTTCCTTTTTTGATGTTATCTTTACAGACATCCCGTTCACCCCGCAATGTTTATTTAGCTTTTAGGGATACAGTGACATTTCAGAGTAGAGGATGTGGTCTTGGGTTAGATTTGAATTTAAATTGCACTTATTAATTCTGTATTCTTGGTAAAAAAATATTTAACAAATCTGAGTTCATAAAATCATATTCATAGTACCCACACAATTAACTGTCACAGGTATTAAATACGATACCACTACATGGCACATAACAATCAAAATTTAATAAATGTTACTTCTGTTCCATTTCCTCCTCCTTCAGAAATGCATTTGTTTCTCTATAAGCCTTAAAATGTCAATGGCTCATAATGGGCTTTAAGGAGAAATTGAATGCTATAATTCTAAATATCTCTCCAAAAGAGATTTGGTGGATCTATTTTATATTAGTGATGGCAGCAGCGGACCATCTGGCGAGGCTGCTGTGAAGACCCCAGCTGGAGTAGGGGAGA